GAAAGGAAACAGTCCAAAGGTAACAAAGGTAACATCAAAAGAAAGCATCCAGAGCGTTCGACTCATGCAGGTGAAAAGCGGTTCAAATGCGAAACATGCCCGAAGAGGTTCACTGCGCCATCGGATTTACCTAGACATATGAGGACTCATACCGGTGAGAAGCCGTTTTCTTGTCCGGAATGCACGAGGAATTTCACCGAGAAAGGGAATTTGCTTAAACATATGATGATTCATACCGGTGAGAAACCGTACAATTGTTCAAAGTGTGGGATGAATTTCACCCAGAAAGGGAATTTGCTTAAACATATGATGATTCATACCGGTGAAAAACCGTACAGTTGTTCGGAATGTAGGATGAATTTCACCGATTCATCGAGTCAGCTTAGGCATTCGGGGACTCACACTAATGAAAAACCGTATGCTTGTTTTGTGTGCAATAAAAAATTCTCTCAATCAAGTGATATGAAACGTCATATGGAGATTCATGGCAATAATAGGCCCAGATTTAGCTGCAAATGCGGCAAAACTTTCCTGCGGACGTCCTTGAAAAAACACATGAAGAATTGTGTAGGATGAGCTGACAGGCGGATTTTAAACATAAATACGCATTGTTATTTTGTTGTATTTTCTATAAATTAAATTCATTATTTTTTATTGCATTGTTAACATTCTATTGCTATATATACATATTAGTATTGTTTCTTTATGATTTCTTTATTATTCGATTTCTCTATCATTTCTCTTGTCTTAGTGAATGATTTGCATCTTACTAAGCAGCGTTTTCGTTTTTAGTGCATATATGTTTTTAGTGCAATATAATATTTCATTCAGTTGATAATCAATCCCAATTACTGTTTCACACCAGTGAGTTATCGAATAGTTGATTTGAATTCAATGAAAGTTCAAAAACGACGACAGGTTTGAGAAAACAGAGGGAAAAATCGCAGTATCGAAAACTTTTTGTGATCAAGTGAGAAAAAAAGTTTTTAAAATTTGAGAAGTAGGAATAGATTTGATTTACCAAAGTTAATCTTTGATATGATCCGAGGAAATTGAAAAACTTCTCATGTTCGTTTTCAGTACTCGTCTGGGGTTTTATTTTTTAAGATTTTGAGAATGTAAAAAAAATGCATAGTTAAGTGTTTACTATTTTATCGCAAAAAGTGAACAAATATTCTATTTCTTGACCAAAAAAAGTATACGCAGAAAAGAAAAAGAGGAAGGAAATTAAAAATTCTAAATAGCACAATATGCTGCTAAATGATCCAAAGCTCTGGAATAGAAATTGAAAATTCCTAAAATTTCTGCCTATTTTGGAAAAAACAAACAGGAAAATACATGTATCAGCAAGATTATTTGCGTCAGTATATATTTGGTTTCCATTATTATGAATGAATTTCAGATTGAAATGATAAGTGGTTTTTATCAGTCAGTGATGGAAAACAAGATAAAAGTGATTTTGTTTTTTGTTATGGGATTAGAAAGGGATTAGAATGCTTAAAAAAACTATTCATTTTCATTAGCTGCAGTAGTTCATTTACTTTTTTGTTTTGTTCATTGGAAATTTGTTTTAAGTTGCCAAATTTGGCCAAATGATCCCACTGTTACTGCCTTAAATTCTTTACATTACTCCATTACATTTTTTTGCATCCTTGGTTACACTCATTTGAAACGTCTCAGGGGTTTATTCCGGTAAAAACATGAAAAACAAAAAATTATGAAGTTTGAAAGAATTCTTATGTTTTAAAAGCATTTCATATGTCTAAATGTTCAACTTCGACTCTACAGTTAAAAAATCCCAATACTAAAATAAATTTATAGCACCGAATATGCCGCATAGCTTTTCACCATTACGTGCCGCACTTCTCATGTTTGCCCAGGAATGTCCGAAATGTGAATTACCTTCCGTTGTGAATTTCTTTCTATTAGAATAAAATTTTTTCTGATGTTATTTCATAGCGTCAAAAAAAGTGGATGAACCATTTTTGCAACAAATAAATTGTTTCATGCAGTAGAAGTGTGGTCATCAACATCTGTCGCAAGTTACCGCCACTCTGTTCAGGAAAAAGAAGTTCAAATGGTATTATTCAAATGTTAGGCTTATTCGTTGATTCTGAGACTTTTGCTTCCTTGCTAAAGATTATTTAAAAAAGAGAAAAAAAGCTATACGTACAGATTCACATATCGGATCATTTTTTTTAGAGCACGCATATTTATGTGCTGCCGGTACAGATGTACAAATTTAATTGAATTTAGGATTGCTACGAAAAGATGTTACACAATTCAATTATAAGTCAAGAAATAGCCTTCTACAACTTTTCCTTTTTTCCTTTCCGTTAAATATCTTTCTTTATATGTCACATCTATTGTACGCAATAAAATAAATTAACCAATTCTGCACACAAAATTAATGTCCATTGGTACAAGCATTGTTTGATAAATGTTTTCGTTAAAAATGAACTGAATTTTGTTATCTGCTCTTTTCTTTCATTTTAAAAAAATTTAATCAAAAGTGTTAAAGTTATCAGTGTTAAATGCATTGAATAATATATAGTTCATCTAAATGTTTCCGGTTTTTTTCTTTCAAATAACAGTTCTAAATAAAATTGCTTTTGTATTTGAAAATAAAAAGTGAAAATAATTTTAAGACATCGTATATTTCACACTTTTTTTGTGAAATCGTTTCAATTCTGAATTAATAGCAGCAGATATTAACCCAATAGATGCAACCGCTGCTTGTAATTGCAATTCATCACCCCAAGGTAATAATTTGGCATCATAAGCTGTTGCACCGCGAGATTCATTTGAATATCGACATTGAGCTTGATAACCTTCATATGGATATGATTCTTCCGTATCAATTCCATCATTTTCTCTTACATATTTAAAAGCCTAAAATAAAATTTTCATTGGCAATCAAATTACATTAATTTTTTCGTTTGCTATCATTTTTATAAATAGTGTAATTCGATTGTTGCTTTCATAACAAGTTCCAGGAGTAAGAAAAAAAACGAAAAGCCCAAAGCCTAGTGAACAGTAAAAGGCTCAATTAGAATATTAAAAATAATTAATGCAATGAAATGGACAACAAACATTCATCATCAGACCACCGTCGCATCCATAATTACCGTAGCTATAATCACTGCAATCGAGAATATTCTGCTTCGAAAGATCAGCTAGTTTACTAGTTTTTAGAAAATTTTGTCCTTTAAGCTGACAAATCAAGTGCAATTTCTTTCTTTGATATGTAACTTCAGTTATAGGAAGGCTTTTTCAACATCTGTTGTTATTACCTTTCTTATCATTCTTAAACGAAGTAGTCCTCTTACCAAATCTGGAAGTGATATTGCACCCCGATATAACACATCATTTAAATTCTTGGTTTCTTTGAGGTAAACCGAAACAACATATACAATTCATAATTTGGTTGAACTTTTAGTGGTAACTACTACTTCATGATGAGGTAAGTAATGAATTATACCACCTTAGTCCATATTGGTTTTTACTTTTTCACTTATATTAGAACCGAGTTGATCCTTGATTTTTCATTGATTATATTGCCGAAGTCATTCATTTTGTTGGAGTCCTCAAATTAAAGTTCTTAAACATCCAAAGCATAATCTAAAATTCTTAATTTAACATTCAATTTCTTCCATGACCAACGAACCTGATATCTTCCTTGGTGTTTGATGATGCTTTTTTAAAATTGTTCCAATGCTTGTTTGTAATTATAAGCATTTGATAATTCATTAATTCCAATGAATTGCAATTACCAGAATTGATCAGAGAGAGAGAGAGAGAGAGAGAGAGAGAGGGGGAAAAAAAAATTGATAAGAATGATTGTAGAGATATCGCGAAAGTATTTGTTTCAATTGGTTTAGATTGTTGGATTAAACTTTCATGTTCATTATTCTTCAATGTATAATTCACGTGAAATTACTTATATTGCAAGCATGTTTAAAGGGTGAATTTTACAATAAATCAATAACTTAAAGCCATTACAATTAATATTTTTAGTATTTTATCTCCTTCTTACTGCTCCATTTTCAATTTTTTTTTTTTTACTTTTTTATTTTATCATTATGAAGTCTAATGTAACATATCATTGAGCATTTTATAACTCTATGTATAATCAAAATTAACTTATTTCATGTTTCGAAAATTTTACAAACAATATTTCTGTTTTATATTAATTAATTCTCATGCATTTGGTTTATATTTTTAATTTCGAATTATATTTTTTCTTCTAGTTACGTTATAAATAATTTATCCAAATGTAATTATGAATTATTATTTTTTTAATATGTTTTTTCAGATCAATAAGTTATTTTTAGAATTCATTTCTGTTTTTTTTGTTTTTTTTGTTTTTTAATACAATGAATGAATAAATAAACCAAAAAAAAGCTTTTTTCTTATAATAATGACAAATTTTATTTCATTATCAAAAATGTATGATTTTATCAAACTAATTTTTCGTTTGATAAATTTCAGTTTGTATTAAAGCAACGAATTGATCTCAAAGAAGAACCATTTTAGTGATAAAGAAGTAAAAAACGATAATTTATCAAATAAAAAAAAAAACCCAAAAAATTTTATTGTTCGTTTTTTTTTTTGTTATTTTTATACCAAATGATTGTTGCAAATGATTTACGCTTTATACAAAGATTGCGGTAGATGGATGAGAAAAGAAGGAAAGAATAATGCATACATTTTTTTTTCATCAAAGTAAAAATAATTTTGGAAATTTTTTTTTTTTGAAAATTTCATGAAAAATCAACAAATTTGTCGAAATGAAATGTTATGAGGTATTGATTTTTTTTTTTTCGTTCCATATACACGGCAAATGTTTCATGAAGTTTGTATTTTTTGGAAATTTACCGATGTGTTTACTAGAATCATTTAAAATTGTTTAATAATTACAAGAAGTTTTAAAAATTTAAATTGTTTAATAATCAGAAGAAGCTTTAAAATGCTAATATTTATCGAATGATTGAGTACAATAATTGATCAGTTAATTAATTGTTAAGTTATTCAAATGCTTGTTAATGCCTAAAAAGGAAAAAAATAAAAACTTTTTTTTCTTTTAAAAATTACGCTTTTGCAATTTCATATTTTTCTCTTGATTAATACAATAAGATCAAAAAAAGAAGTGAAAATTTTGAGGGCTGAATATTGTTAAATATGATGATAGTGATATGATAATTGTGGTGAATTGGTGATACCCGGGGAACAACGATGTTAATGATCTGCTGTTTATCAGAAAATAAAAAAAAATAAGCCAACATTCTTCTGGAAAACAGTAAAAACAGGAGAATAATTAAAAAAAA